ATTGCTGGGAACAGTGCTGGTTCTGTTGTATGCTTCTTCTCTTCTCCTTCCCCTTCTTTTTATTTTATCTATCTATCTATTTATTTATTTATTTATTTAAACTTCCCACAATAAATTTAGGGGCTTTTCACTGGGCTTCTCTATTTATTTATTTATTTATTTAAACTTCCCACAATAAATTTAGGGGCTTTTCACTGGGCTTCTCTATTTATTTATTTATTTATTTAAACTTCCCACAATAAATTTAGGGGCTTTTCACTGGGCTTCTCTTCCATTCCACTTTTCACTGCTGCATAATCTGTTCAAAGAGATGATCCTCATGCGCTGCATCATCCATGATGTTTAGCAAATACACTCTAAAGACTTTAATAAAGAATGAGTCTGCATTATTTTCCTTTTTCAGGTTTGCTTTTCAAATCATACCTTGCTTGCCTTTTGGGGAAAGGGAGGACCCAAAACCTTCTCATTTAAAAAAATATAGATTAACCATATGAAAAGAAGAAAATACACCAACTGGTATATTCTGAGCTCTATGGTTTTGAATTTTCTTAAGGTGATACAGTCTGACTGAAACGAAGGGTTGGTGGGTGTTTAATCCTTTTTAAATTGAAATCATACCATTATTGACATTCTTCATCTCTTACGCTGTGTGCTGGTTTGCCTCTGGTAAGAAAAAATGACATAAACAAAACTGCACATGTACACCCCTCCCAAAATCCCTAAAACCACAACCCCAAAAACCCCAACCCCCAATCCCTCCATTGTGCTGCCTGGCAGACATGACCGTAGCCCATGATACTGGAATCTCCTGGCTCACTGGGCTATTTACAGCTGTATGTACACCTTGAGTTTCCTGATCTCCAAGAGAAAGGAGCAGAAGCCCAGCAGGGAGGCAGGCTCAGGGCAAATGTGGCAGGAAGATGGAGCCTTGACTGCTCACTGGCTGTGTTTTGAGCTGAACAGGTACAGTAATCCTACCCCCGCACTGCTGCCTAAAACCTCCTTTGAAGAAAAGAGCTTGAAGAAGCCTTTGCTCTTCAGTTTGCTGAACTTTGTGTATTTGAAATTAATATTAGAAGGTACATCAGAAAAATGTATTGCCTGGGTAGGCAACAAGAACCAAAACAGACCAGCGAGGTTTCCGTGGTGTGGTGAGAGAACGGCCGATTGAAACCAAGTACCAGTGTATCGTACCCCTGGCAAGGAGCTCTGTGCTCCCGCGGGCACCCAGGGCATTTACCAACAGTTCTTATTTCGGCTTTTAGTGTTTCTGTCTGCCCCTCGCTCTGATTTGGGCATAAATGCATAAATTGTGCTCCGATAAATGCCGGATGTTCATTCCAACACGCGTTCTGTACCAACCCTTTTGTTCTAAAGCGTTACCACCTTGCCTAAACCTATTGAAAACTTACAACGTATTTTTGTAAGATTGTTTTGGGGGGGTTTCCGCGTCTGTTTGCAGGGGAAGCTGCATCCTTTTAAAACTCTGGCTGCCCTCAGCTCGGGGGTGACCTGAGGGTTGTTACGAGCGCTGAGAACAGAGCCAGCCGCTCTGCCCGCCGCGCCACCGCCAGGGGGGCGCCACGGGCCGGGCC